TTTTGAAGCTGGCCTGCGCGGTCGATCCATTCTTTTGTCAGAGCGAGGTCTGGGAGCTGCCTTAACTGCAGGAGGCCGTGGAGGATGTTCATCAGGAGAAACCATCAATGCGTTCGTTTGTAATGGAGGTTGAATGTGATGGGGTGGGTAAGGGGAACTTGGCAAAGGTGTCGGTGGCATAGTCGATGTAGGTGGTGGAGTCGACGTAGGAGATGAAGTCGGTGGAGAAGGCCAGGCAGGTGGAGCGGTGGGTGCCGAAGGAGATGGGAAAGTCGAAGGAGCGGTGTGCGCCATTGTGGGTTCGGAGGTCAAAGGTGCAGGCATGGTGGGTACGAGCTGTGGGCCTGGTACTGCATGAGGAGCCGGAGACAATGAGGTAAACGGCAACGATGTTGGGGATGATGTAGACGGCATGATCGAAGCTGAAGAAGACCATGTAGGATGCAAGGCTGAAGGATGTCCAAATAGATGTACGTTCTGTGATGATTGCGGCCACGTCGGAGGTGCGTTCGTAGGCTGCGGTGGAACAGGCCAGGACGTTGGCGGAGGGTTCCACGGATGCATCGCTTCAGTAGATGAAAACAAAAGTAAACAATCACATACAGGATTCAGTCCCTAACTGCCTAAGATGTCGTGCAATTATTCCCTGCACCGGGACCGTGGTCAAGTCGTGCCACGAAGGCATAAAACAGCTTCCAAATTCCAACGAATTAGATGCACAAAATGTTTCACCTCACCAAAAACCAAAGAGACCACACCTGCAGGAAAAGGACATGCCTGTTGCCTTTTGTCGTGAATGTCATGTTGAACTTCAAATGCGCAAGCTGCAGAGAAAAAAGGTTTCTGGTAGTTCGAAGTGGCTTCACACAATAGAGATGCATTCACTGGGTTCATAAAGGACAGCCGGAAGCGCGGGACATCACAAAAGGTGCAAAACGGAAAGGCCAGCTGTTGCACATTACGTAAACGAATTACCAAATTAAAATGTGTGAATTCAGAGTTCAAGACTGTCAACACTCACCCTGAAAAGGGTTGCCTCAAGTGGCTCCATGGCACCATGTCGGAGCCACCATGGAAATCACACTAGACAAGAATGGATCATTATATGATCCGGCAGGAACTGAATCCTGAAACATGCAAACCAGCCTAGATCGTTAGATTAGTAAAGGAGCCACATGAGGTACTTCTCGAAAACGATGTAGGGCATCCAATGTTGTCAAACGAAGTCAAAACCAGAATCCATAGAGTTTTAACCAGCATGTTGAGAGTCCACAATAATGTTTCGGCGATTGTTTCCCAAAATAACCCATAGTCGTCGGCGACATCATCTCGGCGAAAATAAATCAAAAAACATAATACTGTCGGCGATATGGTTTCGGCGAAAATCTGAGGAAGGTTCTGATGCATGTAAAAGTCAAAAATGATTCCAGATTGCGACAACAGTGCAGCAAATTGTATAATATTGTTGTTGGGGTTCTAAGCTTGGCCCCTTGCTATGTCGGAGAAAGCAGGTACGTGGAGTTGATCAGACTCCATATCCTAGTCAACTGCATGGAGCTTCGTTGGCGACAGCCATGCAGCGACCCTGTCGCCCCCTGCAAACTAGTGAAAACCAATCAGAAGTTTTACATCTGTTCAGATGGTACACACACACACACACTCATACACACTCATACACACCACACACATATATATATATATATACATATTTGTATATTCACATTATTATGTTGCCCTATGGCCCTATGACGATGATGACGATGATGACGACGATGATGACGACGATGATGACGACGATGATGATGATGACGACGATGATGATGATGATGACGATAATGACGACGATGAGGACGATGATGACGATGATGAGGATGACCACGACGACGACGACGATGATGATGATGATGACGACGATGATGATCTTACATAATTTCGTTTTTTTTTGGTAACTAGTTATGTAATTTAGAGATGTTCATATGTAGTCGTAACTAGTTGTAACAAGTTCTAACAAGATGTAACAAGTTGTATGACTAGTTCGAAAGGTTGTAACTAGTTATGTATCTTAGATGAATTGACAATTTGTTTGTTAAAAGTTAGCTAACTTCTTTAACTTAACATAATTTGCGTTAATTTTTAACCTAGAGTTAGCTAGAGTTAGCTAACTTTTAGCTAAAAGTTAACCAACTTAGCAATGGTGAAAAAAGCTGTTTTCACAGGTTTGTGTGTAATGTGGCGTATCAAACATTTTTGCCACATGGCATTTCAAGTGAGATTGCCTCTGCAATTTTGCAGCCACATGGAATTGCATGTGCAACTGCTGGGCCTGCATGTTTGGCCACATATGGCATTGCAAACATTTGTCTTTGCACTTGCAGCCACCTGCTCCACATGCAATCATAAACTTAGAAATCCAAACTCAAGTGACCATCAGCTGCAATGATGCCAAAGCCATTGCAGTGCCTCCAGCTCTCATCCAAGAACATGATGAGTGCAAGTGGTTGCAATTGAGGCCAACATCCCAGCCATTGAGCCAAATTGTTTTTGGCGAGGAAGAAGCAGGAAAGAATGCTTCTTTCTCCAACCACCAAGGTTTCCAAGATTTGATCACCAAAAGGAACACCATGTGGACTAGTGCCAACACATGTGATGAAGAGTGCCAGCCAGGGAAGCCCAAGAGGAAAAGGGCGGAGGGAGGCCCACAGGTGATGCAAGTGCAATTGGGAGATGCTAACATTGACTGCGTGATGCAAGGCCAAAAGCCCACCAAGTCTGATTTGGTGGTGCCATTGGAAGAAGACCAGTTGAAGCCCATCTTCTTGCTACTCCAAGAAGAGAAGGACATGGAATCTTTGAAGCACAGGCAGCGCTACAAGAAATCCAGGGAATCCAAGGAAAACCAGCTTTCAGCCGAAAATGAAGATTCCAAGGAGTGAACTAGCTCATGATGGTGGCTGTGGGAAAAAAAGAGCCTGCTGTTTCTTCCAGCATCAGTTTGAGAATTTGGCTGGCATTTCCATTTATGTTCTTGTTTTGGCACCACAGCTAGCTGCAAATGCTTCATACGGCCATGTTGGCATTGCAGCCTTGGGAACAGTCATGGTGGAACATTTCCATTGCCTGGGCCCAGGCCAAACTTTTTGAAGCCATTTGGCATTTAACCAAAAGCATCCACAGAAGGTAATATCTTGTTTGAATGTCACTTTGTCAGAGACTGCACATGGCAGCCATACAGAGCTTATAGGGTTTTCCAAAGGAAACCATGGCTGCAGCTGCCATGGTGGTTGACCCAACTTGTGTTGCTGACATCAATGCCCTGCTGGAACCCAAGAAACCAGTGAACCAGATTGTGGACCAGTTGCTGGCTGTCCTCCAAAAACATGGGCTGGTTCATTACCAAACTGGTGTGACACCATCCCAGGTTTTGTGCCATCCCCACAACAGAGCCAAGCAGATGATTTCATGGTTGAACATGTGGGCCAAAGGCTAACAGATGCTGGCCATTGGAATGAAAAGGCTGCTGCTTGGGGAAAGCATGGCCATGGAGTTGAGCATTGGCCCAGCCAAGAGGGAGCAGCAAATCACTGCCAACAAGGCCATCATCCAGGAGGCAGGAGGCTCCATGGCACCTGTGTCTGGCCAAGAACGTTTCTAGGCACACTTCAAAGCAATTTTGTTTTTTACAGACAAGAGGCAAACCTTTCCAACCAAGAGACTCCACCACTGCATCCAGGTGGACCAAGGACCAAGTGGACCCATATAGATCCATATAGTCCATATAGATGGCCAGCAGGTTCCATATCGTGAGTACCTTCCAGCAGTTGGTGAGACAGAGCCCACAATGCCAGGCGGACGACCATTTGAACTCATTGAAGCCTCCAGGCTTGCCAGGCTGCTCAAGGAAGCCAGCCCACTGGAGGGCCTGACTGGAGGGCCGGCAGTTGGCCCACAAATGGTTTTTGCTCACCATGACTGCAGTGGTGGAAAAATGCAGGGCCAATCCATCTGGCAGCCATTGATGGCATTTCACGGGAATGTGGGTGCAGATCGAATTCTTGGCCATCTTATGGCATTACATGTCATCTCATGGGCATTCCACCAAGGTCAGTGGCATTGCGCAAGCATAAATCTTGCCAGTGCAGTCTTTGTAGTATTGCCATCTTCTGGCGTTAAACCACCTATGCATGTTACCACATGTATTCATTCCAGTACATGTGGATGCTATTGCATCAGTTTGATTCAGTTGAAAATGTGTTCAGCTCTGAACCATTTGATCACCAATTGATTTGTTCAGGCAGGTGAGCAATGAACCAAAGTAGGACCCTTAGGAAGCAAAAGGCCACTGTGAATTTTCTAGATGGTTTGTGGCCATTGTTTCTATTTTCCATTTGAATCCATATTTGTGTCATTTCCTTTCAGTCACAGTACATGGGCAAATATGGATGTTCATTAATATGAGATCATATATGTTTACGTTGCCTTGTGAGCGGAAGATTGAAACAACATCATTTTTTTTTTGGGTTGTGTTTTGTTACCACTATTTTGATTTATTCATTTGGTTTTCATTAAGGCACGAGCAACGATAAATAATTTTGTATATGGTTGTGGTTTGCCATTTATGGCATTGCTTGAATTGATGTGTTCAGAAACTATTTTGGCTTCAAATTTTGATAAGGCACCATTGGTTGTCCAGACAAACAATGATCAGAAATATCAATTACAGAGCACAAAAATATAGTTCCAAATCATAAAAACAGCAAAAGATGATGTACAATATTGCAGTTAAATTCAGAATTCTGAACTTAACTACTTAAAAAAAGTAGTTAAGTTCGGAATTCTGAACTTAACTATTTTTTTAAAAAGTAGTTAAGCTCAAAATTCTGAACTTAACTGCCAAAATGTAAATATCGAAATATTACCACCAGAATTATAATTTTACTATAAACCAAATTATTTTGATCCCAAATCAAAGTTTTCACCACAGCTTCACCATTCGACCAGCCATGTCGTACCAAAGGGTCCTCCAGAAGCTGGCCACTGATGATTTCATCACTGAGAGTGATGGTGAGATGGTTGCCATGTGGGAAAGGAACCACATGGCATACCATGATGGGACCACAGACCAAGCCTACCTGGATGCCATCCAAGAGATACATCAGATGGCCATGGAGGACTCCAGGGAAGCCAACCTAGTTTTGGATGATACAGCCATGGAGATCCAGTCATACAAAGACATGGATGAATCCATGGAACCAGCACCAGATGAATGGTCCAGGTACTGGCACCATCATCCCAGACCATGTCAGGTTCTATGGAGCCAAGATGCAGATGTAATATCCAGCAGCACCATCCCCACAGCAGGTGCAGCAGCAGCATCTAGCATCTCCATTCCCAAGGCAACTGCAGAAGCCAAATCCAGCAGCACCACTGCCAAGGCATGTGCGCTAAAAGTAGGAGCCAAAGGCAGTTGTGCCAGTCCAGCAAATGCAAGGCCAGGTGGTGCCATGCCAGCCACATCTTGCATCAGCATCCAGACCAGATGGTTCCAGCAGGCCACCAGAGCCAGCCATACCACCAAGAACTTCCAGGCCAGGTGCAGCCACCAACCCAGCCAGGCCAGCAAAAAGCAATTACCAAACAGGTTGGGGGGCCGAGGTGGTGTGGATGCTGGCCATGTATGAGAACCATGATTGGGATGCCTTGGAAGCCCAGGTTCCAGTCTTGTGGGGCCAGCAGAACGACCACATGGCTCCCAGGTGACCAAGTTCTTGAGTCATATGCCCGGCTGGATGCCAGAAAAGCAACATCCACCAAGAATGATTTTTTATATGTGGCAACAAGCCACTGGTTGGAACCACAGCAGCATGGCACTTATGCTAGATCCAGCTTTGAAGGCCATGGACCTGCTACAGCCTTGCACCCAGTTCACCCATGATTATATGCATGGAGTCCTCCAAGGAACTGGTCCAACCGTCCTCTTTCACTTCATTTCTGCCATGGAGGAGATCCTCCACATTTACCAATTTCTAGAAGGCTATTTTGCCCATTGGGTTTTTCCCAGGAGTTGGAAAAGCCAACACATTGGCAGCTACTTTTCCAAGAAAAAATGACCAGCCATAAGCAACATGGAAAAAACTTGCCAGGCTTCTGAGTGTTTGGCCATGTTTCCAATCATCAGGCATTTCATCCACAGTGTAGCAATGCCCAAAGGTCATAAGCCTGAAGCTTGCCAAGCTTTTCTTGCAATGGCAGCTTTCATGGACCAAGTCCATGATGGAAATCAAGCTGGCCTCATCACCAGAACCACTTTGTTACCAGCAGTAGAACAGGCCATCCAAAGTTTTCACCAAGCCTTTCCTGAACTATCTTTGATAAAGAAGTGGCACTGGCAATTCCACATGCCAGACGCCCTCCAGAGATTTGGATTTCTTCCTTCCTGCTTTGCCAATGAAAGAAAACGGGCTCCGGCCCAAGCCCTCCTGAACCAGAAAAAAATTGAGGCCAACTTGCTGGAGCAAGCCCTTGCCCAAGAGATCTGCCATTTGGACACAGCAGATCTTTTCCAAGATGGTGTCCATTTGGTTCGCCCAGTGAAAGCTTCCAAGAAAAAACTTTGCAAACTTTGTCCAGCTTGATTGGTGAAGAAATGAAAGAAGACATGAGCAGCCAATGTGCCAGAATCAACCATGTTGAGTGCCACAAGGATGATGTTGTGGTTTACCAAACAGCTGGTACCATGAAAGTTGCAGAAATCCAATTGCATTTTCTTTTACATGGAGCTTTGGCCACCTTGGTCAAAGCCTGGCAGGTCAAGGAATGGGTGCCACACCAGCAATTTGCCACATGCACTGTGCTTGACCAGACCTTGGGATTCGTGCCCACTGCAGACATCTTGGTGCACCTCATTTGCCACAAAAGCCAAGAAGAAGCCAAAGTGCTTTTGCCTTATCAGATTTACAGCAGATTGTAGTTGGCTGGAAAAAACAACAGGTGCTTACAGCCATGTTTGCATGCATGGCTGCTTTTCTTTTGATAGCCCTTGGGCATTACATTGCCTACTATATGGCGTTACAATCACAACAGCCTCTGTGGCATTTCACCAGCCCAAGGCATTGCATACCATTGTGTTGCTTTCCATTGTTTCTTCCTAGCATTTGAATGGCATTGCGTTGTGCATTGCTTGTCCTTTTTCCACACAGCTGAAGATATGAAAGCCTGCGCCAACAGCTTAAAACCACTTGGCTACCATGTTTTTCCTAATAAATTGATTTGTTTTGCATTGAATCTCCTACTTTGCAATAAATCATGCAGGGGATTCTGTTTTTTTTTGTGGTCCAGGATTGATTTTTCTTGAGCCAGGATTGCTTTTTTTTTTTAAAAATTAGCAATGCCAAAAAAAGAGTTAGCTAGAGTTATAACTAGTTAGCTAACAAAGTGTTAACTCAACATAACTAACATAACTCTAGATAACTAGTTACAAAACACGGGATTATTTAAGATGATGGCGATGATGACGATGATGATGATGATGACGACGACGGCGACGACGATGAGGATGACGATGATGATGATGATGGTGATGATGATGATGATGATGTCGATGATGATGACGATGACGATGGTGACGATGACGATGGTAATGACTGACGATGATGATGATGATGATGATGATGACGATGGCGACGATGATGACGATGATGACGACGATGATGATGATGATGACAATGATGACGATGATGACGGGGACGACGGTGACGATGATGAGGATGACGATGATGACGATGATGACGGTGATGATGATGACGATGATGATGATGATGGTGACGATGATGATGGTAATGACTGACGATGATGATGATGGTGTTGATGACGATGATGATGATGATGCTGATGATGATGATGATGATGACAATGATGACGATGATGACGGGGACGACGATGACGATTATGAGGATGATGATGATGACGATGATGACGGTGATGATGATGACAATGATGATGATGATGGTGACGATGATGATGGTAATGACTGACGATGATGATGAGGATGATGACGACGATGACGATGATGAGGATGATGATGATGATGTTGATGATGGTGATGATGCGGATGATGATGATGTTGATGATGCTGATGATGATGAGGATGATGATGATGATGAGGATGACGATGATGACGGTGATGATGATGACGATGATGATGATGGTGATGATGACAAGGATAAGGATGATGAGGACGATGGCGATGATGAGGATGACAATGATGACGATGATGACGGTGATGATGATGACGATGATCATGATGACGATGATGTTGATGTTGATGTTGATGATGGTGATGATGCGGATGATGATGATGTTGATGATGCTGATGATGATGAGGATGATGATGATGATGAGGATGATGATGATGTTGATGATGATGATGATGTTGATGGTGATGGTGATGATGTTGATGATGATGATGATGAGGATGATGATGATGATGAGGATGATGATGATGAGGATGATGATGATGATGACGCTGAGGATGATGATGATGATGCTGTTGATGATGATGATGATGATGAGGATGAGGATGATGACGATGATGATGTTGATGATGATGATGATGAGGATGATGATGATGATGAGGATGATGATGATGATGAGGATGATGATGATGATGATGTTGATGATGATGCCTCATAATTCCATGGCTTACCCAGCGGGACCCAGCGTCCATCAGATGTTCCCCAGGTAGTGGATCCAACCTTGAGGAGCTGGGCGTCACGCTGTCCGGCTACCTCTGGGCACAGGATCGGCGAAAGATAGAGGGGTGGTTAAGTTACTGCATCGCTTGGATGGATGGATAGATTGATTGAGTAGATCGATTCAATAAATCAGATAGATTAGAAAGAACCTAGACAGACTAGATAGATTAGATAGGTGAGATTAGATGAGAATGAGAATGAGAATGAGATGAGATGAGATGAGATGAGATGAGATGAGACAGACAAACAGACAGACAGACAGATAGATAGATAGATAGACAGATAGAAAGATAGATAGAATCGGATATTAAACTAAACGACTTAAAATGCTAGATATGGACTTGTCCAAAATAGAGGGTAGACCAAACTTGCAAGTTTAATGGGGAACACCGTAATTTGGTCTTCATGAATTGTATACACTCCCTAGATTTAAGATAAATCCTACGAATGGAGTGGAGAGAACAGGTGGTTTGTTTGAGGGTTGTTTTTTAATGACAGGAAACCTCCATGTTCACTGAGCAGATTCCGGAGAATCATACTCACCGAGTCAAACTCTGCTCACGTTCGATGCAAAGCAAGGCGTCGTTGGAGCGTTGCTTACTTCGCTTCCTGAGCAAAGATGGCAATCCTGTGGAAATCTTCATGCCTGCGTTAGTGCTCTTGGTGTCTTGGTTGATTGATGTTGATTGGTTTTTGTATTAGATTGGCAAGTCTTGTAATTTGCGATCCATCATGCATGTGCAGTGACATTCTATTTTTGGGCGGATTCAGTTTGTGGATCCAGGGTGATTCGATAGCACACATCTACTATCACCATACAATATCGAACATGGTGTAATCAGTGTAATCATATAGCCATGTCTGTGGGCATGTTACTTGTCAGGAGGCCGGTAGCGACTGCAGCCTTCCGGAAACTGCTGCGGACTGTGCCCGACTGGAGTTCTTGGATGGGCAGGAGACTGGCGAGTAGATCTTCACGAGCTTCACTTGCCACCTTTTCTTTAAATTTAAATGATCCATGTCGCAAGCCAGCCGCTTCCCCTTCAGAATAGATACCTTCACACATGGGCCTGCTGGCCGAACAATGAATAACTCGGTTTGATATGCTCAAAGGCGCCCTGCGGAATCTCGGTCTGGCGACGTGTGACACCTGTATGAAATGACATGCCAATGGACCAGAAACTTCACTCCGGTCACCTTTTGTGGCGATGTCGCTACGGGAAGCAATCCTTGCACTTCCTCAACTCGGCTCGTGGTCTTTCCTCACGGCCGTGCCTAAGGTGGTTGCAGCTGTCACTGTGGTAGCAGCTTCCACCCCTAGTGTAGAAAACCGTGGCTGGTGCACGGGCCTCGATCAGCTGGCGGTTCAACCGCGTGATCTCGCTCTGGTTGTAGGCCTTGTCAGTGCGCAGCTTCTGGTTTTCTTCTCGCAGCTTTTGACTTTCTTCGCGCAACTTTTGGTTCTCTTCCTTCATCTGTTGGTTTTCCTGCAGCATCTTCTGTCGTGCTTCTTCGGCTGCAGTGTTGGCCGGCGGAGGCGCAGGAGCAGCTGTAGGTGTTGAGCTTCCGGGCACGATCTGTCGTACTCCTGGTGGAGCAGCATGCACGGCTTCATAGCGTTGCAGTCGCTCTCGCAGGTAGGCAATGTGCCGTGCTGAGGCATCTATTGTTTCACGATACTCTCGTGATCATCCACCAGCTTGCTGTGCTTTTCTTCCAGTCGGTCAAAGCGACCACGTACCTTTTCCAGCTCGTTCTCCCTTTTCACAAGCTCCTTCTGTGTGTTTGCGAGCTCAAAGGTGATCCTGTCCATCTCGTCCAGGGCACGATCTCGAGCTCGTTCGGCATCTGTCTTTTCCACGTCCAGCTTGTCAATCTGGCGTTCTTGTCGTTCTCGGAAGTCCTGACCGGACATGTTCTCCATGTTCTTCTCCTTGATCTCGTCTTGGAGACTGCTGATGCAGTCTTCTTTGACTTGGATGGTCACCATGAGGTCCTCCTTGTCTTCCATCAACTTTCGCAGCTTCTTCTTGAGAGATCTGATCTCTGCCTCATAGTCGTCCTCAGTTTTCGTTGGCTCCCAAGCATCAACATCCATGGGAGTAGCTTCATCAGGTTCTTCTTCTTTCACCTTCCAGCGTCGTCGAAGACGAAGACGTAGGTGCGTCAGGGCATAGTCCAGCAAATAGCGGCAGAGCTTCTCCAGGTAGAGCGCCAAGACCACCGCAAAGAAGAGCAGGAAGAAGAAGGTGTACATGCTCGGCGTGTACTCCTCGTCATGGGCCTTCTTGGTATCGTCGATGTAGTGTGGTTCCATCGCTGATGCAGTTGGTGTAGCCAGTGCTAGAAAGCAAAGTGCGGTCATCTTGTCCTGTATCATGAAGCCGCTAAGCACTGTTGAGAAACTTGCTGATGTACGTTCTGGATTTCCTTTGATCTCTTCCAGCATCTGCTTGTCGTTCTTGATCAAGTCATGCTCATCGTAGTCCTTGACTGATGGCATGATTCTTGTGGTGACATGGTGCTTGTCCACGTTGAAGAATCGTATCAGGCCAGTCGTCAGGAGCAGTAGCATGCTTGCATGGATCATCGATTTGGTGAGGCTGTCGGCCGTCATACATTGTGTAGGGATCAGCGTCAGCATCCTGATCTTGCCCATCAGCCTGGCTTCCTTGATGGGCAGCACGTAAAGTCGTCGTCCTTTGTCTTGAGGAAGCGTCCTTTCTCCAGTCACCAGTTCAAAGACATCTCGGCAATCGCCGTAGTAGTCCACAGGGATCAGCTTGTTGCCCTCTTCCTGAATCTTGGTGAGCTGTAGGAGAGAAGGTGCAGGTTCAGGGTGTAGAAGTTCAGAAAGTCGCACCAGAATCAATGTGCTGGATTCCACTCCGTTGATCATGCTGAGGGTCTCTGCATGTGATGTCGAGTAGGACACCCTTTTGGCTTTTGTGCCGCTGGCATGAAGTACATGCATCACTCCTCCATGACGGTCCACACCATCAGGGCCGTCGCCGTCGTTGAAGATGGTCTCATAGTCCAGGTTCTCGCTGTTGAACTTGTCCTCTGTCAGGCAGATCAGAAGTCCTTCTTGAGCATAGTGGCGTCCTTGGCTCGCTGAAGAAGCATCATGAATGCATACCAAACGCAGGTTTGAGGCCTTCAGGAAACGGTAATGCAGTCCAACGTCTTGGAACTCCTTCACCTTGTCGACCACCTGGTTGGCGTACTTCAGGTCTCGGATTTCTGCCACTGTCACTCTGCTTTGCAGGATTGACACATCTGCCACTACATCAAGTCTTGTGGCAGTCACCCAAAGCAAGGCGCCCAAGATAGACCTTAGGCTTGAGGTCTCAGCTGGCGTCAGCTTTTCAGAGTCACCTTTTTCAGGAATCTTGACCTTCTCCAGCTTCTTGGCAAAGTCAGCTTGACTGATGCGATAGCCGCCAGGAAGTCGCTCATAAAAGCAACCGCAGTGGTTGAAGGGCAGCTGCTGTCGAGTGATCTTGTTGAAGCGCTTCACAAAGTGGCCATGCATAGTATCCAGCCAGCTCTTGTTCGCAGTCAATGCGATGTCATCCACATGAGTGGTGGCCAGTGCAACCAAAGCTCCATCTTGTTTCCACATAAAGGTGTTCTCATCCATCTTGGAAGGATGACCATTGTGGTGCTTGATGAAAGCATGCAGACATAGTTGCCAGGCCAAAGGTGCGTCGTTGAGGCCATACACTGGCTTCACACAAAGGAGACCATAGTCATAGATGCTCGCCTCAGGGATCTTAAAGTCGTCTGACAAAGACGCAAGATGCTTGTACACATTCAGTGGAGGCAGCAAAATAACCGTCCTCGAAGGGGCTTGATGTCCTTGTTCTTGAAGCACCTTCTGAATCTCCTGGAAGCTGAATCCTTTCAAGAAAGCTCCTCCAACGTCCAAAGACTCCACGTCCCGCTCTTCGTCTTGAGCAGCATAGCTGACCAGCAAACGCTGGCTGAGACGGGTAGCCGTCGTAGATCTTGTAGTCAACATTGACTTTTGTGCATCGAGAAATCCTCTTGCACACAATCTTGATTTGATGCGGATGCTACCATCTGGATAGCGCTTCTTCTTCCGCACCCAGATCGCGTCCACCACGACCATTTCTGATGTGATCTGCGACTTGTGGATCTTCTTGAAGGCTGACTCTTCCACGAACTGCTTGATCTCAGCTAGATCGGCCTTGTCAACTTCAGGCCAAATGTCCGGGGTCAGATCAGCTTCGGAGATGTTGTTCGTCTCCTGGTCCACCTTGTATATCTCTGATGTCCTCAAGCATGCCAGTGCATGATGTTCGGTCTTGTAGCTGATGTTGAAGAGGACTGGCAGAGCTCGTCGATCTTGATCATGTTTCTTCACCAGGAAGTTCTTGATCTCCTGGGTCATGAGGAAGCATCCAGTCTTCCATACGTTGGGGTAGTCCAGAAGGATGAGCATGTTCTTGGTGTGGTCCATGTAGAAGTCCTCCAGGAAGTTGAGGTCTTTTCGAGTCCATGCCACCTTCTGCTTCTTCTTCTCAGGAGCAATGACTACGGTCCTGGTTTCAGGGCTTTCTCGTTTTCGATCAGGTGGATCCACATCCATTTCGTCAATGATCGGAGAGGTTGAAGTAGAGGAGGTCTTCTCTTTCTTTGCCTCAGCGATTTCTGATGAGCTTGGCTCCATCGATGCAGTCTTGTAGTAGTAGAAGTAAATCATGCATGTGTCTTCTTTGGCCAAGTTGGAGATTTTCTTCAGCTTGAGGTTGTTGGAGTTGGGATGATGTTGAACTGAATATTTTCGTCCTCCAGCAAGCCACATGATCATGGTGCCCGTGGTGTTGTGTGGAGGTTTGATGTTTCGGAGTGCCTTGCCGATCATGATGCCATGGAGTGTCAACTTTGTCATAGATTTGGAAACCAGTTCGGCCCATTCCATGATCTTCCGAACTTCAGGCGTCTCCTTGGGCAATCTGTACCACTTGCCATCCTTGTGGCGTTTCAACCAGCCAAAGTAGAGGATCCTGTGGTCGCTGATGCTCTCGGTGTACTTCATGAGGGAGAACAGCGCCTGTTCCACATTCTCGGACTGGATCTCAAAGTGGAAGATGCCCTTGTGCTCTCTGATATGTCGAAGGCTGACAAGGTATGGTTTGCCTTGATATTGAATCACAGCAATGCCTTCTGACTGATCTAGCCGAAGCAGGAGAGCAGGTCCACGCCAAACTTGATCTCGGAAGAATTCAACCTCGCTGGTTCCAGCGATCAACTCGTCGACCTTCAGTTGATGTGGTCGAGTCCTGTTGGCTCTTGCAGTGCGATCTTCAATGATCGCTTGAGCTGTTTGGGCAAGTGCTGATTGGCGTATCCTCACGGCACGCTCAAAGACCGTCAGGTCTGTCTGCAGAGCTCCAATCACGCTGGTCACTCCAGGGCTTTCAGGATTGTAAAATCCTCGAGGCAAAACTCCAAACACGTTCATGCAAGGTGTGACTCCTCCGTAGTTGATGGTCTGGTTGTGTGCCATGGCTGACTCTCGAGCCACTTCTTCAGGTTCAGGATTGAGACCTTGGCGTTGAAGTTCAGCTTGTAGTTTGAACATCGTGATCTTCAGCAGCTGAATGTGGCGTTCCACAATGCCAGTGCCTGTGTGCTGAGATGCTCCGTGGCCTTGAGTTGTGCCACGAGGGCAGCGTTCAATGGACAGACGCTCAAACTCATGCGCCGTATCCCAGCCCATCAGAGACATCTGTTGGTCCAGCACAATCCGCTTGGGCGGACCAAAATAGGCCATCCAACTGTTGAAAACTGCAGCCAGAATCGTCTCAGAATCCTGACCCTTGAGCTCGGTGCATACCTTGAAGCAAGTAGCTTCGTCGATGATCAACAGGAAGACATGTCCTTCCCAATGGAAAAGATCCATCTGGAGAGTCTCTCCAAAAGTGG